TTTCTGTCTGAAATGTTTCTCTGTTGCTATCAAGAGAATTACCTGAGATGATGTTTCTCAGCATGTGTTTGCAATTTCTGTTCCATTACCAAATTGAATGTGTGCTAATTAGCTTATCCTGTTGTATTTTTGGGTGACATTTATAATCTGCAAGCTTAATGATTGTGAAGAGTATTTTTAGAGTATATTTAACTACTAAATTTTTGGGAAAGTTACCACTCAGAACGCTTTCTTTTCATTTTTTTCATAGTTCCGAATGCACTACTTCTCTAATCTACTCTGTCGTGAGAAATAGTACTTTTGTATTTTCGTAGATTTGTTGCAGAAGTTAAAATGTGTTAGAAGAGGTTTTCCTAAAAATACAGATGACATGCTTTATGAAGTTACCTCTGTGGGAATAGATTTTTGGAGAGGAATTACCTTGAGGATATGCACGTTTTCCTCTTTTCTTAGTATGTACCATGCTTGCCTGCATTTTTATTGTGGAGCAGTTCTAGATTGCAACATTTTGATTACTTTTGTGTTTAAGCATTGCATGTGACACACTTTTCTCCCTATATCAAGTTTTGGTCCTTCAACAAACCTTTCCATGCTCGTCTCTCTTCTGACTTGTACCAAGAGTTGCATCTGCTTCTAATTGTTGTCCTCAGAGGCTTAACTGGTTCTTTCTGAACCTTATAATAAAAAACTTTCTTTTAAAATACGTATAGACAGACTTACATGATCACAAACGATGCAAAAGTAGTCAAATAAGTCAAATGTTGCAAGTTATGTCTAGCAATGTGTGCATGAGCTGCAGCCGCACGGCGGTGGGAAATTCACACCTGGAGATGTACTTCTCAGCGCTGTAGGATATTTAGCGAAGGAATTCTCAAGCATTACTGGCATGTGCTAAGAGGTACTTTTGTTAGAAATGTCTATCCTTGATGCAGTAGGCATAGGAAGAAGTGATGGTTATACGTGCAATGCACAAACTGTTTTATGTACGCACATGACAGTTTCCTCTTACTACTACGTGTACTTAGAATTGGCACAAAGCGTTTGTCCCAAAAAGTCTGTTAGAAAAAGAAAACAAGGAGAAACTTGGTAGTTCCTCAGCTGGCTACAGCAACAGCTATTTCTGAGTGATTCTCATCCTCTCACCCATAAAATCAGCATAAAATTGACCTAACATTGCCAGATCAGATGGGGTATCTGGAAAGTAATCCTCAGGGAAAAGAAAATTCAGTCTTTGTAAATCTGAAGATAAAGTGCATAAAGTTGCAGAATCGGATTATACTTTCTCTTTTTATTTCTAAATCAGTACCCTTTTGTTTCTTCCTTTGCAGCACTTGTCAGAAGTTGCCACAAAGATGTGTCAGATGCTGCCTGAGCCTAGTTCCAAAAGCAGAAGCAAACATAATCTTTTGAAAAAAGCCCAATCCCCAACTCGGCTAATTATCATAAAATCCCAAGGCTTTTTATAGGTGTTAGGGTTTGGTTTCACAGAGTGAAGGCATAGAAAGAGTATAGTAATCTTTGTTTTTGAAGCACAAGTCACATCAGATTTTCTTACTTAATAAATGTATGGCAAGTACCTACTAAAATAACCAGTTAAAAGCCAGTAATAACAACGGCAAAACCCAGCTCAAAGCAGTTGGACAAGTCTTGGAGGCATATAATTTTTGCTGAATGTAGCACTGAATGTTTGTCTTGAATGGGGTTAGGAATATTTTTTTTAAATGTTGGCTCTTTTTTGTTTTCACAAAGGAGCGTTAAGAGCATTATTCTCCCTGTTTAGATCACATGAATTTAATTATCCTCTCATGATATAAATATCCTTTCATGATATGAAAATATACCTGCAGTTCAGCGAACTGGGATTTACTTTAGAGTTGTTTTTATTATTTCAAATGAGACCAAAGCAGTACGAGAGAGCCCTAATAATATGACGTCAAGCTAGCAAACGGTTAGCATACCAGAGCACCAAAAGAAGTTGTTGGAGCTGCTGATCTTGCTCCCGTTAGGTCAGGGGTGCTCCTGTGAAATGTCGTTCAGCTCCATTGGCACATCACCAGGATGTGAAGATATTGCCCATTTTGTGACCCCAATTACCTTAGAGCTAAGTTTTGCTTAATTCTGAGGTTATGCTTTGCTCCTAACTGTGACCTTTTAAAATGGTGCTTGGAGGCTTTGTTATTGCTATCTGCTTCCTTTTTTGAAGCCCGGTGGTTCTACTTCCACTAAGAACATTTCTTTCCCATTTAGTTTATACCTTAAACGTTTTACAAAGTATAAAAAAAAACCCTGGGATTTTGTTACTCTGTTGCTAAAGCATTTAATATACCAAATGTTTCTCATGTAACTGGATTTCACATCTGCCAAAAAAATCTGCCCGGTTTCATTGCTAGGAAGAGGCGAGCTTGCCAAGTTGGCTCCTCCCCGGCGATGCTCCGTCGGCCTGCCTCACCGCAGAGCGGCCTGCGCGCCTATTTACGGGCAGGAACTCTCAAGTTTTGCAATAGAAGCAACTATGAATGGTACAACAAGACTTGGGAAGTTCTGAACAAGGAACGAGTGATAGGGAGCGGAACTAGACGCAGCCAGTAACCAGCTTGTATTTTACGAGGTCTAGCAAATGCTTAAGGCTGGATTGCTGCCGGGTGAGGCAGTCCTGCTTTCTTCTCACCACAACTCCCCGTTCCCTGGTTTTTCTTCCTTCTTTTCTGACACAAACCCAAGGGTTTTGGGGAACTGATCTAGTTGACGCTGACCTGATAAATTCCGGACAGTTGGTTTGATCTTGGTCAGTTCCTTCATCCGGTTCAGTGTGTAGCTGTGGAAGAGTCTGCACCAGCAGGAGAGAGGTGCTGGTGCGTGATCGCTGACAAAGAGCTGGTAGTGGGAGTGCAGTGGGATTGCTGGTGTGCAGAGAAATTTATGAAATGTTTGTGGGCACGTGGCCTTAGATTTGCAAGCTCTTTAAAGGTATTTTTTGGATTCTGCACAATTTCCAATGGTTTTTAGCAAGTAATTTATGAATTACTTAACGTTGAGTATTTGATATGTTACCATGCTTGCTCTTCCCTGAATTTATCAGAGATAAATTGTTAATATATGATTACTTTCTTTTTCATGGTTGGAACAAAAATAAGAGATCCCTTACATTAGAGGCACTGAAATATTCAAACTCCTCTTGTATCTAGTCATTACACAGATGTTTGTGATTTAACTACACATGAAATAGATGAGGGAAAAAGTCTCTGTTTTAAGTAACTGTATTTATTTGCTGTCACATTTTTATAAACGTAGCATCTTATCTCTTGTTTCATGTCTGCCTTCAAAAGTACCTGCTCCCCATATTACATGGAGGAAGATTCCTTGAGCAAAATACATACATATTTTCATAAATAATAGCTGCAGAACCTCCCCCAGGTGTTCTCAGGAGCAAAAATGCGCTTGTCCAATAAGAAGAGTCAAGTGGCCATGTTTTGATCTAAAATATCAATTAGCTTTGAATTAGATGAAAATTAGGTCTAAATTAGATTGAGTTGATTGAGAATTTTGCACCACGTTCAACATACATGTTGCGCTGTTGGTTTCACATCTGGCCCGGGGTGAAGGAGGCATACTGGCTTCAGTCTCCAGCTCCTTGTGAGTGGGCCAGTGGCAAACGCAACAGCTGCATGTTGTACAGTAGGATTTGAAATGAGCAGCTGCAAATGAAAATACCATCAATGGCATTTCTCTTCCCTTAAAGCTTCAATTTGCAGCAGCAAACTTATGTGGGAGGATGAAGAAGAGTAGAAACCTCTCTACGTTGCCAAAAGCAGAGGATCCTCTGAGTTCTGGTGTAAAATGTAGCAATAAGAAGGAAGTTTCTGATTTATCAGACCGTGGTAGCATTAGAGACTGAAGTGGAAATGCGAATATGTTTCCCAGACCTTGGCTCCTCAGAATACAGGACTCCCAGCGGCTCCCGAGGAAGCCAAGAGGTTGCGCTTCTCATCAGGCAGCGTCCCCCGGCGCTTACCGGTGGGTTTCTCCATTCATTTTACTGCCCTTTGGCACCCAGAGCTGTCGTCGGCCACGCCATCAGCGGCGGGAGGATCTGCCTGGCGTTGGCTGGGGCACGAGTGGAAATTGCAGAGCTCTCCCTCTAGTCCCGGCTTTGGCATCGACCTGGGTCTCCCTTGCAGGAAGACGGGTATTTCACTTTTAGCACATGGACAAATGCTGCAGCTCATCTGTTGCACAGAAGTGCTGTGAAGCTTCACGAGTGTTTGTGATAACCGTTTACCGGTAGCACCTCGGGAAGGTTTTGTATCGCAGGAGATTAAGAGCTTTGGGGGGATGAAAAGAATAACTCGGGTTTTGTTGAAGGGTTATTGTTCAGGTCATTGTGTTAGACGCTTTCGAAATAACATTAATTGTAGACTAATATATATCCTGAATAATACCAATTATTTTGATAATTAACAGTTTATAACAGGTTAATGAAAACTTGGCTCTGAACAGAAAACACTCAAATGTGCTAGCTCCTCTAAACTCGTCCTTGAGAGTGCTTGTTACATCAGTACTATCTTTAAAATCACAATGGCACTTCTCTAGACCTCATAGAGACCTTTGTTTTCTTTTCCTCTTCTTATCATTTTGCATCTTTTTTTTTCCTTCAATGAAAAGAAGTTTTATATTACTTTATTTCTTAATTACAATAAAATGTGAAAATTGAGCACGTGCTTAAAAATGAAGTACTCAAAGGTTAAAAAGAAAGAGCCGAATATGAAAATAGTTCAGTATCTTATAACCTGCTACTGTATGTAAAACAACAAACATAGAGTTTCATAAATATGAAATAAGTCTTTTTAATAATCCAGTATCTTCCTTAGTTTTTTAGATGCATTTTTGCACTTGCCTCAAAGCTTGACGCTAAGCTGACCCTCTCTTTAATATTAATGTACTCTGACTGTAGTACTCTGTTCCTTTGCCTCTGATTAATGCTGTCTGTCAATTATTTACAGATCCAGTGGTACTGTGGAAGTTCCCGGCGGACTTTGGAGACCAGGTTGGAAACATGAGATTGAACTTTTTTTTATGTTAGAATAATAATAAAAAAGCTCTCCTATTCAGCTGTGGAGAGGCAGATGCTAATGATAGTGGGAGGAAGTCTTCACCCAACTGGTGGCTTAGTGATTAGAATGCCTTTGTGACAGGAATATGTAATAGCAGTTGTAGAGCACTGTATATCATACTGATTCTCTGTATCATCTTATTTTTCATATGGAGTATTTTATAAGTTGTTGCTATTGGAAGTGTTGGGTTTTTATCTGTTGTTGAATTGAAAATGTGGAAAATTTATCAACAAAACTTTACCAAACGATGTTATAAATTGTATTAACAAAAACCACCAGAACAACAAAGTCAAAGAGTTGCCCATGTATGTCCTTTTAATGTCAGAACCTGTGCGCCCTGTTGCTCTCATCCTTTACAATGCGAAACTATGTATATTTATTTAGTAATATTTTAGAGATAGGCTACTTATTTGCTTGGGGAAAAAAAAAATCCTTGGACCCTCATAAGAGACAGTGGTCTAAACTTACTGATTTTGAAAGCATGAAAATCCTAGTTTCTATCTATAATTAGTCCTCAAAGGAAAGTTTATAGATACAGGACTGATGGATTATTTCACTGTTTGTAGTGATAGCAAAGCTATTAATTAGTGTGTTTTCCCCCCTCCCCAGACTATTTTATTAAAGATATTAATATTAAAATGTAATGAAACTATTAAATCTTGTTATTTCAGAACTTTTAGATCAGTTTCTTCCATCAAAATTTTCTCAATTTCATAACAAAAATACGTAAAACCACTGAATAGAATAAATATCTCTGACTCAATGTCTCTCTTTGCTCTTCTTTTTATACTGATACTGAGTCAAACATATTCTTCATTGGTAATATCACCACAATGGATCATCTGGAAATATTTTTGTACAGTAGATCTTGACAAATTGTTGATTTAAAAAAAAAAATCAATAATACAAGATTCTATAAAGACAGCTATAAGGTGATTCATGATGAAAGGAATAAATATACCAACATAGAAGGTAGGATGTCTGCTTAGGGAATAGCATCATTCAGAAACATGTGCAGCTTATAAGACAGTGATAAATGGTGCATGAGCAAAGTGTGCTGTTACATGTTCTTAGCTAGACATCCAGCAAGTTTTGGTAATTTTCCTGGCTGCAGAATGATCATCTTCATTGTCACTTAAATTCTTTTTTTTCTAGTTTGCTTTTTCTTTTTCTTTTCTCTACAAAAGACTTGATCTTAAAAAAGAAAACAAAGATGTATGAAGAAAAATGGGAGCTTATTCAGTAAGTCGAAGGTTATTCAAAGAACAGCTGGTGTAGAAAAATGATTAGAAGATGAAGCCCACTAAAGACTGAAGGGGAATCATACAAAGATGCAGTAGACATACATAATCTATAAAAACCAGAGTCCTCAGCAGCTCTCTGCCTTTGAGCTCTGACAAACCTACGCCTGCACATTGTGTCTCAGCAGCGTAGGCAATCTAATGTTTCAGGTGGATTGCTTGTGTTCCTGGAAAACAGTATGTTTTAATCTTCATCCTTGCAAGGGAGATTTTCCTGTTAGAACCACTGGATTTGAACAGAATATGTAGCAGCTTCTATAGCAGCCCCCTGAGCCAAGAGTCAAGTGAAATCAGCAGAAGCCTTCTGTGCGCATGTGTGTGTGCGTGTTGAACTTGATAGGTTTGGATCGGAGACCCGAATGTCTACTGATTAAATTAAAAGGGGGGGGTGGGGGTGGGGGAAGGAGGAAGGGGAAAAAAACCCAAAAAGGAATATTCTTCATCCTTTTTTCCAGTCATTTCTATTTTAAATGTAAAATGTGTGAGCTGGTTTTTGGCTGTATCCCAAAGAATCATCTTTCCTAAAATCTAAGGGCTGTCTGTTTGCACAGTGATGTGATAACAGTGGGCAAAATATTTTCCTCTCTTCCTGAATTTTTCTACGGTTTATCATGTCACCTTTTTGTTGCTTTCATAATGCAAAGAAAACTTGTCTAAGCCATTTTGATATATTCCTCCTCTTTCTCACATTCGTCCTCTCAGTATGCCTGAACTTTACAATGCTTACTCATCCCTAATCCTCTCTCTTATTCTTGTGGCCTGTTGTTTTCTTTTATTCGGGGCATAAAAGTCTTCTTTTGGTCTCTTTATTTTTCATTTAAAAATGAAAAAAAAAAACCTTTCCAAAATCTTGTTTTGCAAAACATCCCATCTGTTTTGGATAGGATGTAGAAACTACAGATGATCAGGAAAAAGAAAAATTTAGTGATTTGTCATAACCACTTACTCATCATGCACAGTCCATTAAATAAAGGAAATATTAAGGCGCAGTTTTGGTACCACAAAAGAATTTGCAAGATTCATTGTTGATTTCCTTCTCTGCTAAGACTGCAGGGACACCACTTATTTTCTATCTGGTAATTCTTCAGATGTCAGAATAAGACGGAAAAGGGAAAAACACAGAATGGAGAAAGGAAAAAAAAGTAATGCTTCAAGGCAGGAAATGAGAAATACTTTTGTTTGCCAGGAGTATTTCAGAAAATTGGTTTTGGTGGTGGGTTTTTTTTGTTTGTTGGGGTTTTTTTTGATGGTGGCAGTAATTCACTTCTTAGTGACTCTCAAAACTATCAGTTAAACAATGAACTCATGCCCGGGAGAATTCCAAGTACAAAGAACCACACTACCATTTCAAAGAAAATCTTTATTAAAAAGTACACCAAAAGCTGAAAGAACTAATCTATTTGAGACATCATCAAGTTACAATTTACTGTTGTACTGGCATTAATGCTATAAACATGAGTTTGACAATGTTGAAAACGTTCTGAATAATCTCAGCACTGTAGAAAAAAATGCAAAGATTTCTGATTTGAGCATATATAGCTCTTCTGTGGTTATCCTCACGAGCTCACACTTGAATGAAGAATGGGTTGTAGCCATTTAATGGAATTTGTTTTTACTTAAAATATATTTTGAATGTATGTGCATACAGGCTCTGTCTTGTAGTATGTTCAAAACTCCCCTTGTGCTCAATGAAATTTTTATGATAAAAGATGCATATGTTTTTAATCTTGAAATTGCTATTTTGTTTATTCAGACTGGTTAGACTAGAGTTTAATTTCAGCCTTGCAAGCTTATTTTCAAACGGAAATCTATACAGAGAAGATAATAATGCTACGATATCTGGAAAATAAATCCAGTAGTTTTTAAAAATAAAGTATTTTTTAAGTGCTTTAGAGAAACAACCCGAATAAAAACAACACCTTTTGCTTCCAAAATGAAACCCTTCATAACTGTTGAAAAAGAAAATGTGTATCTCTGCAGAAATTAATGTCACCCAGCAGAACTGAGATCTGCTGATGCTGGCTGTCTCTTCACGGCAGTGGAGTCAGTGGCAAAGCCTTGTTGATGTCAGATGTGTCCAGATGCCTCCAGTATGCCTCTATTCGTAGCTGTTCTGGAAATAAAACCACTCAAGCTCCCAGTAACTTCATGGAATGGGAAGATTCCTGGGAAGAGGAGTAGCGTTGGCACAAGGAAGGACTAGAGCACAGTGCCGATAGCACCAGCAGGTGTTAGCGGTTCTGCCAGAGGCACGGCTGCTTTCTGTGTTGTCTTAGCCTTTGAAGCACGTGAAGTCTAACATTTCTAACAAAGTTAGTAATTACAGCTGTTTTGGATATTATTTTTAGCCGTGTAAGAATTCAGTTGCTTTTTAATCTGACTGCTTATTGGCCTAAAATGATTTCCATCTGCATTTGGCACCAGAGTGTATGGTGTATAGAAAAACTGATCCATTGAATAGTTCTTATTCTTCTCCCTTCTAATCACATAATAATTTCTTTTTTTAGTCTGCCACTTCTCTGCTGATGAAAAACATCTCCCAGAAAGATGATACAAATAGCTGATATGGCAGGAGACAATCTTACCAGAAGCCACTTCAGTCGTATGAAATGGGACAAGGGGTTGTTGACTGAAGGTGTGTGTTGAAAAAGAATTGAGGCTCGGCATTAGAGCGTTACTTGTGTTGCAGATTTCATCCTATCTTCTCTTGCCCTCTGCTTTCTAAAACAAGCAGAGTAAATCTGCTTTTTCGTGTCAGGCTTTTCCCAAACCCTTCAGATGAGTAGCCAGAAAGGGATATGGCATCCCACGTGAGGACTCTCTTCTGTTTTCTGTGAAGTTACTGTAAGAGCCTTTGTGTTATTATCTCATATTTTATATCATAACATCTGGTTTTTATTTTTAATGTATCACATTATGGAAAAGTCACCACTGAATTGTGAGCAATAAACCTTACTCCTTATCCTGTAGTGACCCAGCTACTAAAGCCTGATGATATGCATATAAGTATCAGATTCATGTGAAAATATTGGTATATATAAAAATATATAGATACACATGCATGTGCATAAACATCAGTTGTTTAAAGGATACATCCCGTGCAGTACTAACAGGTTAGCCTTCCTTCAGCAAAGCACTAATCGCACACTTTACTTTCAGTGTATGTATTAACTATTGGAAGTTAAGCCTGGCTTAAATAAATGTCTGATTGGAGTCAAAGCGCTCAGTTTCTTGCAGGATGGAATACTTAATTGCATGGATCGTGGCAGCAATTACATAAATGAGGTCAATATGAAAGAGATTATATTCCTTTTTTAAAGACTTAAATAACAGCACAAGTTTTATTAGAAAAAATAAATCTCAGGAAGCAAGCCGAAGCCTGTTGTCTTGGTCAAAGTAATGTGTGGAAGCCAGTTGTGACAATTTTGTGTTCCTCTGTGCTCTCCTAAGAGAGCAGCAGGAACCCAGGAGGTACGAGGCTGTTTACACTCTTTTCAAGGCTGCAGGCATGCTGTTAGGGGATCCATCTCACTGGCTTTCTGCATTTGATGGCTTTGTTCTTTTATTCTGATGAGGCATTAAATACATGTTTCAAATGTTTATGCTAACTAGATAGGTGCTTGCTTTGGTGT